TGGGTCAACGTGTTTGAGTAAAAATTGGTTCTAGGTAGGCAGAATCTCATTAACTCACTTATTAGGATTGTTTATATTTTTCAAGATTATTAATTTTTCAGAAAGACGTAAGTTACATATATTGTTTTCCTGCTGAAGGGATTATTTTTCGCTACTGATCCCCAGCAGATAATGTGATTTTTATTTTCGCTTATAAGTTTACAGACAAAATTAAAGAGGGCAGTGCTGTTACTATATTTGATATTGCCTACTGTAATTTGATAGTGGTAGAATCACAATTTCCAATGAGTTTTTTCCGTAGACACCACATAGAACTTAACCTCGTTTTCATATTTGATTTCAGCTTTATAAACTAACGATTTGAACATACATTTACCCTTTAATGGCAGTTTTTTCTACAATTGCAATTATTTGTTGCGCTAATGTTGCTGTTTTGAAGGTGGAAGATATTTTTTTTACAATAGAACAGTTGTACTGTGCTCTATACTGATCAAGGTTTTAGTATAACTGTAGCTAAATTTGACGTTGTTTTTGTGAAGATCTTATGGATAAAAAAAAAAAAAAAATCATTTCCGATAATAGTTTGACGTTTTAGTTGACGGGCGGGTTAAGCCATATAATATTGCGTTTACGACGTTTTAATTTCTTGGTGCCCTGATTGCTGTTGGCTAGGAATTCGAGGTTAATCCTATGGTTACTATGTTATAGTGCTTCTGCGTATTTGCCTTTATGTTTGTCAAAAATGTCCTTATTGTTAGAGTTGGTGGACAGCCTAAATTGGACCGACTTATGTAAATTATTGTTATACCAGAACATTACCTATTCTATTTTAATAGACTCTCCCACACATAATAAGTAGTGGTAGTAGTAGCAGTCGCCAGTTGAGCTCAGTGGAGTTGAGTGAGTCAGTCGATGTCGGACATTGAAATATCAACCATCACAACCAGATTGCTGCGTCATTAACTCTTATTTCAAGTTCCTAACGATTTGTACGTCGGACCCTTTTAGGACTGACTTTAGCGAAATACAAGCCTCCACTGTGAAAACTACACTACAGCTATTATTCAGTATTCTAGGATGGCAACTGGATTGTTTGTTGATGGATCTATGGTTGTATAAGTCTTTAGTGTATAGTTTATGTAGCCCATTATATAGGTCAAAAGTCACATCCAGAAAATTGATTATTTTAGCATTGGTGGTGGTGGTCATACTCAGATCATGGTCTTTGAAGAAATTCATTAGGATTCTTCTTAGTGAGTTTTTTGTGCGCTTGATTTGCGCAGGGGAATCATCTCGTCGTCTTTGTAGAGGCCGGTGTTTTTTTAATATAAAAAATAAACTTAAGACGCCAAAGTAATAGTGTACCAAATAGCTCGCAAGCTTCCGCTAAATCAAACGCACCAATGGCAATACTAAATTCAGGATTGCCACGGTTGGTCCACAATGAACGTTCATGGAACAGAATAGATTTTGGGGTTTATTACATACTACGACCCAAATATATATATATATATATATATATATATATATATATATATATATATATATATATATATAGAGAGAGAGAGAGAGATGGAGAAAGAGAGGGACAAAGAAGTAGAAAGAAGGAGAGTGACAAATACTTGCTGAAACGGATTGAGAGTTGGCTCGTTGGTTTTGTTTAGCGACATATCAGCCTCTATCCTTATTTAATGCTGATATATAAATACTTTGAACATGATTTTCATGTCTTCAACTAAATATACTTTGAACGCAATTGCATACCTTCAAATGCAGTTAAAATGTTTTGTTGCTTCATTTTGCTTTTCAACGTATAGCTGGTAATTCATCTATAAAAGCTATAGCTGGTCATTTTAATTTAAAAAGATGTTAGTAATTTTACTATAAATATGTATTGTTGATGATTTGATTTAATAAAAAAATTGTATTGCTAGTATTTTTACTATGAAAATGTATTTTTATTCTTTCATGGTGTTTTATTTTTGTTTGAATTTTCATATTTTCCTATAGCGGGAAATCTAACAGGATCTACCACTTCGGATCAGAATGAGCCTGGGAACAATAGCAATTAAAAGGTTGTTTTATGCTCATCAAAACCTCTCATCTCCAGATCAGAGGCCTTGCTGCCCAGTGTAGTTTATGGTCATACCCAGGACTAACGGAGTAAGATGGAAAGAAAGATAAACACATTGTAGTTTCTTTTATGATATGATATTTTTAAGATTTTATCACACATGAAATTTAATATGCACTGTCTTTAATTATATCTGCAGATTTTAAGCTTTTAAAAGAATACATTTGCATTGAGTGCTCTATTAAAAGCTTTGCAATATCCTTTTGTTGTTTTCTCATTTCTCTCTCTCTCTCTCTCTCTCGTTATATATACATATATATATATATATATATATATATATATATATATATATATATATATATATATTGAACAATAAGAAAATAAAAAATTAAAATCATTAGACACACTGGGTTGTAGATTAATATT